GGTTGCGTGCAGGTTTTAAGGCGCTGCGTTTGCCCGCGCTATTGATTTTTATGATTCTCATATTAATAAGGTGTGAAATTTTGGTAGAAAAAATACCAAATTTACGCACCGTTGAACCTTATTAACAAATTTATTTGATTGCTAATGCACATAAAGTTGCTGCGGTGCATAGGTTTATATTTACATATGCATATAATAGTTTGTCAAAAAAGTCTTGCGGTATTGTTATTAAATTTTCAATTGTTCATAAAATTTTTTTTTGATGACTCTTGCCAAGCTCTTGACCGATGCTACGGCTGCTACTATGCCGGTCACTTTCGACCAATTCAGCGATTTTATCGCAATTATGGACGACAGGCCTTCCGGAGCGTGGCGCATCTTCGACCACCTCTACCCCAGAAGCTAAACGTTGAAACCATCGTTGTGCGGTGGAAATGGAAACTGTAACGGGTGCATAAACTGCACAAATGTTATTGGCGGCTTGAGATGCATTTTCGCCTTTATCGTAGTAGTACCGTAAAATATGCCGTATTTTCTCCTTATTTTGCTCCATGTTTGCGACGCTATAACTCACGAACGACTTAAAACAAACGACAATCAATCAAACACGTGTTAGCGCGTGAAATGAGCTTTCCAAAAAGGTATATCATGACCCGATGCGACGAATAAAACTAGAACTACGCGCTCTCAGCGACAACTGGCGAAAATACCGCAATACTTTTTTGACAACCTAATATATACACATACATATGTATATAGATATGTATGTACGTTAATTAGTATGTTGCATTCATGTGTCCCCGATAAATAGATTAAAAACATATTGCTCAGCCAAGATCAATAGATCCCACTTATTTTGGTTTTGCGAAATATTTCGATATTCGTGAATTATGAGATCATTTGAGGTCAGCATAAATGCAAATGTATATATTAGCATAGGATATGAACTTAGTTTGGAAAAAATGTTTACAAAACATTTTAAAATATTTTTTTTTTTAAATATGAAGTAATAATTTGCTTAGATTTGACATAAAAATTATGATTTTATTTGTTCATGTGACAAGGCGCTTTTCTGATAGAAGACTGCACTGCTGAGCGTAGATATGGAAGATATCGGGCCTGGGTGACCTCAATGGATCGAATATGTCAATAACTCTCGACTCGATGGTTCTTTCCAAGGTCATTTATGAAATGTTTTCTGTTTCTGCAACAATTTAAGTATTTAAGGCAAATAATCCTTTATTTTTACGAGGACATCAACCAGCTGGGCAGCGGCACCTTCCCAATTAAGGGACCGGACATTCCAGGTGCATGCCCTCAATTCGTAGT